CACAGTGGCAGATAGGAAAGCACTCCAGAGGGTTAATGTCATTGCCCAGATCATTGGTTGCCCTCTCCCCTCTTTGGAAGAGTTTTATAGCTCCCGCTGCCTTAAGAAAGTTCAAAACATTCTCAAAGATCCATCTCATCCTGGGCAACCTTTTTTTGAACTATTACCATCTGGCAGACGATACAGGATAATAAAAACAAGGACAAATAGGCTGAAAAACAGCTTCTATCCCAGGGCAGTAACTCTATTGAATTCTACTGTATACTGCAATATTAATGCAATATCAGGCATTTTCAATTCAATGCATAGAATGTGAAGGATGTGTGTTTGTGTTTATTTTCATAGTCATAATATACACTGAAAATGGCATTTAATTTCGTTGTACGAGGTGCAATGACAATAAACTAAACATCACTCTCTCATATCCCTTTGTAGGAATCTTGGTTCATTCCTTCATGGTGAATTGCTTCAACCCAAGAATACTTTGACAGGTTTCTAACTTGAATCGCTTATTTCAGATTCTATCTTATTCCTTTGACTTGGCCATTCTAAAAAAATTATTTTGTTCGTCATTCTCTTATGGACGTGCTTATAGCTGTAAAATTATTTTTTGCTGCATGACTCATGTATCCCAGTTTCAGTTTACATTCAGTTTCTCCTGTAGATGCAAAATCAGATCCTTGCCTACATCAATAAGGGCAACTAAGACAGATCCTGATTCAACAAAGCACCATCAAAACCATGAGACAAGCATATGGCTGTACTTGACAGTTGACATGAAGTTCTTATTGTGAAAAGCAGTGTTTTGTTTCCACTAATCTCATGAAATATCACATGACCACACCAAACTTAACTACATCAATTATATTGTCATTGTTAACTGCAATTGGTAAGCGAGACCTTACATGGCCATGATTAGCCATCTCCATTGACTCTATTGGAAGCTGGCTGTGAAGTGTTTAAATGGTAATCCTCTGAGTGGGACACAGCAATAGTCATAAACACTTGTTGGTTGCAAAATGCACAAATTTTAATCCTGTGAACATATGGATGCTGCATGGTTGTTAGTGTGAAGATTGATCATAATGTGTTTCAATGCAAATGTAACTTTGAATGGTTCTAAACAGGGCAGACTACCAGTATTGCCCCAAATCTTCATTTCAAATCAGAAATGGCTTTGTAATCTTTTTCCATCTTGATAGGTACCAATGATATCAAAAAACTTAAGGAGGGGCGTGAAATTTCTGTAGACTTGGTTTGATGACGAAGGAGATAAAATCTGTGAGGTTTAGTCAGGGCAGGGCTAGCCCAAATTACTTTATTTATTAAGAAAATACATATGGTCATTCAACTCATAGTGATTCCATGTAGCTTAAAGAAATAAAACATCAAACACCAAACCCAATAAACCCTCAACTACCCAGGGACAAGTCACTTGATGTATTCCATATCACCTTGGGACCCCAGGCCTAATGACAAAACTATGTTCAGGGCCCGTCAAAAGGGCATCAAGGTCTTCTCTCTGTGGCAATGATGTTGCCCAGGGAAGGAATCACCACTGAGAAAGCCCTTCCTGGTCCCATTAAATTGGTGATAGCAAATCTATGACAGGTGACAATGCCATGTCGTTTTTGGTGACACACCAGACCTCTGGACCCCCTGGACATTGCATAAGGCAGCCTTGCTCTTGTGCAGCGTGTGAGACATCCAAAAATCACACAAGTATTCTTGGTTGATTTTCAAGGGCTCCAGAGCAGGGGTCGCCAACCTTTTGGACCTCAGGGACCACCAAACTCATAATTTTAGATTCCAGGGACCACTAACCGGTTGTGTGGGTGTGGCCTAATTTGTGGGTGTGGCTTGGTGGTCATGTGACTGGCTGGGAATGGCTTTTTGTAAATATTATAAATATTTATATAAATATTGAATTTTTTATTAAAAAAAGAGCAACCTTTACCCAAAATCAGGCAAAACAGGCAGGCAGATTGAGTTGCTCACAGAATCAGATTCATTCAGAGATCTATCTATCTGCCATTAGCTAGCTCAGTCTGTCACATAAAATTCGCTTGCAAGCAAACTCATAAAATTTGCTAGCAAACTCACAAAATTAACTCACAACACACCATGCATGTAAATATTGAATTTTTTTATAAAAAAAAGAGCAACTTTTACCCAAAACCAGGCAAAGCAGGCAGATTGAGTTGCTCAAAGAATCATTCAGTGATCTATTTATCTGCCATCGGCTAGCTCAGTCTCTCAAATTTGCTTGCCGTGAGTCTGCACTGAATTTGCTTGCAAGCAAACCTTCAGTCCTAAGAGAGGCTCGGCTGTGCTGAGCTGAAGAACTAAAGATTAGCTAGAAAGCAAGAAATCCAACCATTTCCTGCTTTCTAGCTAATCTAAATCTCCCGGCACAGCAGAACAGATGATGGTCGGAAAAAGGAAAAATAGCAATTTAGCAGGTAAGTTTACCGGGTAAGGAGTGTGTGGGCAGGGAGGGTTCCCGCAGGCCATGTGGGCGGCGCAGCCTTGTGTTTCTGCGCAGCCCGGATTAATTGCTTTGTGGGGGTGCTCTGTGGGTGAGATTTCTCTGCAGTCCACCAAAAATTTTTAATGGCCCACCGGTTGGTGACTGCTGCTCCAGAGGCCTCATGAAAGCAGGGTCTCACACGCGACTTCCACATGAGAGTCTGGAGAGGAAATCCAGAGAATCCTCTTGTCTCAACTGAGGTGTTTCATGACAAGCCATCAGAGTCAAAGTGCTTTCTGAATTTTTGACCTCCAAAACCCAAAAGGCTTGCCATCACAGCATTAGTTAGAGTTACTTAATGAAGCAGTGGTAATATACCCTATCTCCCCTCTCTAGTGGGTTGGTAGATGTAACTGAAAAGACAGTCCTTCAAATAACCCTGGATCCAAACCATGTAGGGTTTAAAGATAATAACCATTACCTTGAATTGAACCTGGAAGCGAATTGGAAAGAAATGAAGCTCCCGCAAGAGAGTTGATACATATGCAAATCTACATTTTTAGTAAAATATGAAAACAACAGGTCCTGCTTGTCATTGTTGACTTGATTGAACAGAGGGACAATTACTTTTTCACATATTGAATGCCTTTTTATATATAAAAGAAATATCAAGTTTGGTATTACTTGTTCAGTCACATTCCCTTTATATATCAGTAAGATTCACGCGGCTCTAATAACATTCACTGCTATGTATTCAACATTTCAAATTTCCAATATAAGATGAAAGAAAGGACTATTTAAAGAACACTCATATAGGATTTCAGATGTTAGTTGTGACATCAGTGAAGGCTCTAAAAATGCTTCCTTTCAAAGCTTTTCGTTGCTTCAATATCCATCTCTGGTTCATAAATAGATTTTTACTGCTTCCTTGCACATAGTTTTTTAAAATATGTTTTGTTCTATGGCTACTTCATATAAGAAGCTCACTAAGTGATGAACTTGATATAAACACTATTCATATTTACATCACTTTGAACAAGAAAGAAACAGAGGCAAGCACTGCCCCCTAAAGTCGACAACAACTAGCAGAGTAAAATCTCCTTTACTTTTTGAACAAGGAAAATAAGAGCTCTTAAGAGAGGAAAGGTGCTGGAATTTGGAGAAGGACATGGTTTTTGTTCCATTAATTCAATATTAAGTCATTATTGGGGAAGGTTTAATCTGAGCTCTAGTGTCTAGTTGAGAATCGACCCAATTTCTGGATAAATAATAAAGCTGAATTATACACAAATGGACTCTTAAATTATATGTAGAATGCAAAATGCTTCTGTACCAGTGCATGTTTATGACAGAATTATTGGAAAGGACAACTGATCATTTTCTCCAGTACTGACATAAAGAGTATATATTATCCAATCTCCTTCAGCATTTTATAGTTTTAATAGTTATTTCTCGCTTGTTCTAAACTGGAAAGAGCCATTTGCTTAATCACATATTATAGCTGGGAACTAGAAAGATTGAATAAATAGGAATGCTGATCCTAAATACAAACTGAACAAGTCAATAATTTGTAACAGGGTACTGCACAAAAATCAAAGGCCTTGAAACATACTAATTAATTAATTGTCTGACATACTGGCTATGATATCCTACCCCTGCTTTTATTCCTTTTTCAAACACAGGCTCATAAAAATGGAGCCTGTTGTTTTATAATCAGTTTAATAAAGAACCTGGCAGAGAATGACACCTTAATAATTCCGGCCAGGTGCTACCTATTTGATTGACTGGAAACCTCCAAGGTCTCTGCATGAAGAGATTTAACTAGAGGCCCCGGGTTTGAAGAGGGGGAAAAAATCTTTCAGTGAGTACAGTTATTCCTCTAGTTTGATATGAAAACATTCTTAAAACATACCTTTTTTGCAATGGAAATAATACTGAAACAGCTACACCAAAGAAAAGTATTTGAAGCGGAACAAATTTTCAGCTCTATGCAGAAAATGCCCAGCATAGAGCCAAATAAGTTTGTTGCAGTCTAAAGATAATTTAGACTGAATTCCTACTGCAGTACTTATCTATTCTACACTACATCAAATTAGGTACCCCTTCTACGATTAACAAATTCAACAATTTCAACGTGGTTTTCCAAATAAACACAGACCAGACTCTCTTTAAGAAGGACAAAATGTCCCAGCACAATAGAAAGGCAACTAAATCATTTCTAACTCCAGAATCATGCAGTCAAGTGTCGGCAAGAAAGAGATTACTAGCTGCTTTCTTCCATGATTGAGATTAAAATGATGTATAAAAAGTGAATACTGCTGCCTTTTACCATAGCAAGAGAAATCTCAGAACATCTGAATCCTTTCCTGCAGGCCACTGGGATTTTTCTCTGAATCAAATGGCTGCTTTTTTAAAGAAAATATGAAGAGGGAAGTCATTTCTTTTTACGTTTCTTTTCTTTTTATACACCATATTCTTATCTTTTTCTTCTACTTTCTTTCTTGCACTGTTTTTAATTTACATTAGTTTCTTATCATTGTACTAGTTTTATAAAAATTTCTATTAAACCCCCCCACCATACATTCATCTTCATTAAAATAATATATCTCCAGAGGGATTTGCTTATTTTAAATTAACCATGTTTTGGCCATTATACCATGGACCAGGCCTCTTAAGTTTTGGACCTAAGCAGAAGAGCTAGAAGACTGTGTATTCCCCTTCTGGAACAACCAGAATATCTCCCACCCATCTTACCTCCTTCTAACTGGCTTTGGAAATTTGCTCCTCAGCATCCACAAACCCCGAGGCTTCCCAGAACCTCCTATATACTGTCTCAAATAAGCTTACATTCAATATACCCCCTGTGTTAACCAATTGCTATTACATTCATCTAACAGCCCTCCATCACTTTATCCAATGTACACTCTCAAGATTTCCCCCTTCAGTACCCTGGTCCCACTATGGCCCCTTGATGAAGGAACACATATATTCTGATTTAAGGCAAGGCCTTATTCCTGCCCTCCCCGCTTCTTCTGTAGAGTGTTGCAAATTTCCTCACGTTTCCCTTTTCAGCTGGTCCTTTAGAGCAGCCATAGATGGCCAGACAGGAGCCACCTGTAGAGGGTCCTTTGCAGTGCTTGCTTCTCCTTTCAGTTCAAGTTCCTGCTGTACCAATTCCAGTCAGGTCTATCCTCTTCATTCCAGGCACATCAGTTTTGCCTGGATTTCTCATTTGTGCCTTTTATTTATTCCATCATTTGTTCTTCTGTGTGAACAAAATGTCTTTAAGGACATTTACAGTATCAGAAATTTGTGCTGCCGCCATCACTAGCAGCAACCAAGGACCTTCATCCTCTTTCTGCCTTCCATAGGCATCTCTGTTCAGTGTCGTATCGCTTATTCTTTCTTGCACATTTCTGATTTCTTTGGAGGAACCAGTGTTTATTCTCCCGCTTCTTCTCCCTTCCACTTCAACCCAAGGAAACAAATGTTGCAATCTGCTAGCATCCACTCCCCAATTCTCCCTAAGTGCCACTCCCAAATTTCCCTAGTCTGTATGCTGCAAAAACAAGGACCTTTACCTCAACCACCCATCAACCACTCTGGAAGACTCAAAAATGAACTTCAAAATGGAGTCCCTGCACTCTATTGTGAAAACAACCATCCTACAAGTTTAAGCAGAAATACACATTGTGTTTTTACAGATGAGAAGGAAGCAAGAAACATAATTCTCTTTCTCCCAGTTTGATATCTGTTCTAAGTGTATATGGATTACAGCTGATTTACCTCAGAGGGGCCTTCTATGACAAATGGCCACTGCTAAGTATACAATAAAAACTTGTTTGTACAGAACCATTATGCCCACATATTACTTCTCAAACTGCTTCAATATGTAAGTTCAGTTTATACTGGTGTCAGATTGCATTGCTCGAAGAGCTGGAAGTCCAATTTTTGCTTCTTTTTAAGAAAATCAGTTCAGGAAATGGCTGGTAGGCAAGTAGAGTCTGCCTGCCTCAAAGTCGTCCTTTAAAGGCTGTGCCGATTGATATTGAAGATCTTCACACAGTGATCCACCCCGCAGCTCACCAGCTGCAGCCACTTGCTGCTCTCGGCTGTGTCCTGCCCCGCTTTGCCCACAGGCGTTCTCCACTGCAGTCGTTTGACAGTAAGGGTATGGCTTTGGCTGCAACAAAGACAGAAGCTATTAGTAGAAGGAAACTCTACTCATCTCTCATAATCACCAAATGTCAAACTCAGCTGGACTTTGTCAATTCAAAACATCAGCATTTATCTAATTAGTGTGTTCCTTTGCTGCACTGCCAGAATGGAAAATCTAAACTTGTCACTGCCTGTAGGTATTAAAGATGCCAGAGCTATTATCAGTGCAAGTGACATTTCTTCACTTCATCCCATTAATAATTCAAGCAGCAATCTACTTATTTTCACTGCAATTTCAGGTCAAACATCAATATTAAGAAAGATACTGCTACCCAGGAAGCTAAGAATCATGCTGGAAAGTTCCCCCTCAAAAAAGAAGAAGAAAAAAGGAGTCAGACTATTAAGTGGCTTGAAGTAAGTGCCTGATTTAGATGCAATGCTAAATTATGGTCAGGAATTCCCTTGCAGGCTTGTATGCTCTTTCTTTCTGGATTCAGAGGTTATCTTTTCCATTCCCCACATGGTTTTCATTGATCAAATCTGCCATTAGGTCTATAGATGTTTATGGCTGTAAAAGCCTGTAGATTTTATCTTGCTTTTAAACCACTGCTTTTAAATGCATTTTAAAAACATAGTTCCAAATTGTGTCTTGAAGGCAAGCTAACCCCATGCAACACATCCAAATGACACCACAAATAATGATAAAATTTTGCAGGGGATCTACACACCACAACTTTCTAGGAATTCTTCCAATGGCTAAAAGATCATGAGACAAGTTTGAAGAAATAAAAATAACACTAACCAGAAACCTGTATGAAAAACATAACCAATAATTTTATTCACAAATTCCTCACCCATGTGAACTTCCTCAGAGAAAAACAATTAAAAATAAGTATTAAATTTAGTTCAGTCTTGTCTAGAGTAGGTAAATGTATCCCAGAATTAGGTAGCTAGAATTAAAAACCTGTAACTTTGCACTATTACAGAATGCAGTGCTGAGTTAATAAATTAGACTTGCTATTTATGTATTCACATTGTGCCAACCAAACTATATAAAACCTAGCTATTATAGCATGGAGTGTTTATTACTATATTTTTACAATAATAACTATTGGGATTTTTATTATTTTATATTGCTGTTCATCTTGAAGGTGCCCAAGTGGACTCACTATGATATGGTATGTATGTGAAACTAGGCAAACAACTTGAAAGAGGAACAAGGGGAACAGATGTTCTGGTACACCAAGTAAGCCATTTGGGCCTACTTAAATGAATGAAAATGTTAATGGCATACTGAGAAATTCAAACATTTAAAGTCTCATCAGGCTTTTACAGCCCTGCTATACAGCTCCAGTTACAGCCCAAAGGGCTCAAAAGGCACATAACTTAAAATCAGCGTAAGAGCCAAACCAAATATAGATCTATTTTTAATTTGAAGTTTCAAGAATCTGAACAGAAATTCCTGATTACTAACTCAAAGAAAGGTAAGGCCTCAAAAAAAAAAAAAAAAAAAAAAAAGAACCTCTGTGAAATATGTAAAGCCAGGATGTAACCGAATTTCTTGTATTTGGCTCAGACTAATGAAGTTAACTCAAGAGAACGGGCCACAATTCAAGAAGCCTCCAGATCCAATTAAGACGTCCTCCCTGCCATCTTCTGTTGGGCAATCTAAAACTAGTTTGCTCTCGCTCTCCTTCTTCTCTCTCTGCCCAACATCTGTAATACAAGAATCATACGGAAAGGATACTGACCTATTTTACAGGATAGCTGAAAGGATTACAATACGATAACGTAACATGAGCCACTTCGAATTCCCCACAGTGCTATATAAAGAATGAGTGTTTTTAATTCTCTCTTTGCCCTTTTCCAGGGCTGAGAAGCACACCAGGGAAAACAGAGGTCATCGTTGGCTTCTAGTCTTCAACCCGCACTGTAGGAATCTGTGATGACAGCCCACTTGGTAGAAAAAAGAACTGTCTCTCTTTCCCTTGCTCCCCTACTCGAGTTGTCTCTCCTTCCTCACGATAAATATACGGGCCTATCAAGTTGGGTAGATGAATTCCCTAGAATCAGCTACAGTTGCAATATCATAAAGTCCGTGCACAGAGATTACAATCATAACAAAGCTATGACACATCACGGTATCATTTTGATCAACTTTATTACCTTACTCACATTATCACACAAAATTCAGTACAAGGGAACCATGGGGCCAATATTTATTCGATCTAAACCTGACCAAAATTAAACTTTTATAATACATTACCAATATTACCTCTAAATAAGATAACTTTTTTAAAAAAGCTAAGGATAATATGAATGTGGGGGGGGGGGGGAAGAAACCACAGAAAAAGGCAAAGGATTCTAGGTGGGCTTGATATGCCATTCAAGGAAGTGGTACTTGAAACATGAATGGAAAAGGACCAAGAGCAGCCATACAGAGACCCAGACATGAACTCATTCAGTCTGTTGTCTGGAACTACATCCCTACATATTCTGCTACTGGCTCTTTCCTCCTGAAGTCAAAGTGCCCCTGAACAAATTTGAGAACAGGGAGAGAAAGCAAGAACAAATGGGACAATGCTGACTTGGAAGAGGAGATAAAGATTATATCCAACTTTGGCTTGCTTGACACAAGCCACCTCATTCCATTATTTGTCCTGATGCCCTACACCCACTTCAACTCCTTACCCTTCCTCTCTCAGAGAGGCTTTGGGAGGGCATAGAAGAACTGAAGTGGGTAGAGAATTCATCTTATGCAACACACAGTATTTCAAATCTTTATACAAAATAATAATTCAGTAGATGTTCTGTTTATCAATTGCATGGCACTAAGAACATTCTGAATATTTGTTATATGTTTGCATTTTTTTTTTGAATATGCATTAACTTTCCAACTGAAGAATAAGCAATCTGATGGCCTTTGAATATTCCGGCCCAAATCCCATCACCCGTAGTCAACACAGACAGTGCCAAGGGGTTATGGTAACCGAAATACAAATTTCCAGAAGGTTTCAGGGTGCTTCCCTGTTCTAATTTAATTTACATCCTGGAAACCAATAAAGTCTGCTTACATTAATTATAAACATAAGACAAATGTAATAGCTCACCTGTAATCTGTCTCAACGCACTTGCACCAATCGGAAAGTGGCAACTTTTTATTGCCTGGCTTCCATTTGTACAGTTGAATCCTCCCACATTCTGTCCCAATGGCAATTATGAAGCTGCAGAAAAGAAATAGGTGTGTCAGGTGTTAAAGCAAGTATTTTAGTTCATATATTGATAGCATACTTACATTTTCAAAGATGTCCCACATCTTAATCACCACTTCTTCTCAAGAAAGCATGCTCAAACTATGAGGCATAAGAGAGATTACCAAAGAAACTTCTTGCTTCTTTGCATCAGTCAACTTTGCCTCAGGGAACTCCTGTGACTTTGGCAAGTTGGCTTCACAGACAACTGTTATAGTCAGCCAAAGAAGAAAACAGTCGATCAAAGGCAAACTCGTTTTCTACCAACATTCCTGTCTCCTGAAATACCCTCTATCACCTCAAATGATCTTTTATCTTTTTCTGTGCAGGAAAGCAGTTTTTAAGCAAAATTCTGGCTGTAGTCAACCACAATGTCTATTCTTCTCTATGAATATGTATGCAATTTTAGGCATGCTGGGGGAAAAAAAGATTAAGTTGGAGCTCTTTATGTCAGGGATAGCAGGGAACCTGATGAAGGTCAAAGAAGGCTTCTAGTGGCACATTAGTATCCCTAGGAAGCAGATTATTCATTTTTGATGAATTTTCAAATCCTATAGAGACTCAAACTGGACTTGTAGGAATAGACAGTGTGCTCAACACATAGTCCTTCCTTGCCATGCTTTGCAAAGGAGGAATGGTCTATCACAGTGGCCCCCAACTTTTAGGCACCAGGGCCTGGTTCCATGGATAGAGGTTCTTCTGCAGACCGAAGGGGGTGTGGTTTTGTGTGCTGCCTGCATCCCATGGATGGGGCTTCGTTTGTTTGCGTGGACCAATTTCTGACATGCTGCAGACTGGTGCCGGTCCACAGACCAAGGGTTCGGACCCACTGGTCCATCGATTCAAATTATGTACATCCTAATACAAATACCTGATGTACATGATTAAACACGGATAAACTTTGATAAAGTATCAATTTTTATATGAATATATAATTAGGTAAACCATTCCCTGAGAATCTACAAATTAAAAAAAAATTAGAGGAGAAACAGGAAGAGTTAGGAGCAGTATAAGAAGGATACTGCTGTCAATCTGTTTTTCCTTGGCATAACTCAGACAACAAAATGTGTTATGTATTATTGTCATGTTCAGCCTTCAGTCATTTCTAGTGTATTGCTTGCCAAATATGACATCATCTTTGATCATGCATGATCTTTAATAAATATTAAGGAAGACATAGTTTGGCTGCATCTATGAGCCCCCACCCAAAAATGGTATTTTGTTAAATCATGGGTGTCAAACTCGCGTCATGTTGCCATCACGTGACGTATTGCAATGTTTTTTCCCCTTCGCGGAGCTGGGGTGGGCGTGGCCTGCATGTGACACATCCGGCTTGCAGGCCGCCAGTTTGATACCCCTGTGTTAAACCTTAATCTAGATCAGGGGTCCCCAAACTTGGCAACTTTAAGACTTGTGGACTTCAACTCCCAGAATAGCTGGCTGGTCCTCGGAGACCCCTGATCTAGATAAATGGCAGAGGATGCAGAAGTTATTAGTTAATCTAATTATTAATAGGTCACCCTAAGGCAGGTGTGGGCAATCTTTTTCTTTCAAAGTCTACATTATCTCAGGGATAAAGGGGTAATGGGTGGGGCCATCCATTTTTTTTCAGACACTTTTCTTTTTTTTTCTACCCTCTATTGTCATTTGTCAACAGTTCGTTGTTAATACGGGGACACAGAGCTGTGACGGAGGTTTGGATTTGTCTCCAAAGGCGTTTAACGTAAGATCAAAGGCCTCATGAAATTAAATGAAACCTGACTGTTATCCAGTCTGTTCTAAAGAAAAGTCTGCATCTCTTTATGGATTGCTTTTAGTGAGAGGAGAAAAATCCTCAAACCCTATAGAGGTACATACATAAATATTTGCATAAAGTCATAATCATGATGGCCTTGCCCTTATATATGTAGCATTGCATCTAAATGGCATTAAGCTTCCCCACCTTCCAACTTATGTTAGCCCCTTACTCTTCCTATAAGGCTTAAGGTTACAAGAGAGTGTATACCATTTAGCCATTATGACCTAACTAAACTCTAAAGCACAGTGCAAATTGGTGAAGATTTCTAGCTTTATTTTAGGCAGCTGACCAATATGGAATATTCTGACTTAATGCGCAAGGAAATCTCCAGAATACAAAAAATACATACCTCCCATCAGAAGCAAGTGTATGACTAGCACTAATTGCAGTAACCGAATCACCAACATCCAGGACTGGTGAACAAGGCTGGATCAGGGCCAAATCCTTATCTTTATTCTCCTCTGGTAAACATTTACCCCAGATCACAGCCTGATTGAAGTACAAAAATCAGTCACGTTGAAAATGGGATGCTACAAAGCATGTGCATATACATATACACACCCAAATACCAAAAACAATAAAGCAAACTGAGAAGAATTAACTGTTCTCCTAAAAAGAGGGAGAGAAGTTTGCATGAGCCCACTGATGATAAATCGTCAAAGTACATGAAGTACATGTTCAGTGCTGTTACTCAACCAGGTCTTTAAATTAAATTGGGTGATTCCATATAAACAGCAACAGTGATCTCAGTTATAATAAACATTTAATTCACATTTAAGTACATCAGCAGGTTATACAAAAACATCACACTTGAATCATTGGTATAATTCAATATTGAGAGCAATATTGAACAAACATCTTTCTATTTAGCTATATGATGCTGAATTTCATAAATCCACTTGCATACTTCAAGCACAACTCCTCTTCATGCACTTAGGACAATTTTTTTTACCACCATTCTGCTAAACGTCTGACATATTACACTTTTCTCCAAAGATTAGCAGGAAAGCAAATGTTCCACCCCACCTCAATTTTTTTTTTTTTGCAGAGTAAATGAAGAAAGGGGGATCAATGCTAACTACAATTAACAGTCTTTTAGCAAACTAAGTCAGAATTTGTCAATCCTTCTATATCTGAACCACCGCTAAAAAAGAAAAATATGCTGCATTAATAGTTTTGGTTAACATTGTCCAGTTGTATCAAGAAAGCCAATTAAATATATTATGACATAAGTTTTTGTGGGCAAGAATTTCAGATAAGGAGGGCTTATACCCAGTGGGGTCTGGGGCTTTTTCTGACTGGGAGTGGAGCAGTAGCCTGCTATTTCTCAGCATAAGCCCTAAAGTAGGTTTAGCCACTAATTAAAAATCAAAGTAGAGTCAATCACATCTAAGAAGAAATATCAGCCAATCCTAAACCTTAGGTCTTTCTAAAAAAATGTGTTATAACTTAACATGATTACTTGTGGATATTTGTCCAAATAGTTCAAAGGAATGAAAGATAGCCAAAGGACGTAGTCACAAGAAAGCAAGCAGTGTCTGACTATAGTTTCTTCATTGACAATATATTTAAAATTGGGGCATCTTCTTCAAAACCAAACGTTACTATAATATCGAACATGCTCAAAAACAACAGCTGTATCTATAAGCTTTCAAACTATTTACAGCCTGAGCACTGATGTACATATTATCCATTCTTGCCTTGTAAAAATGATTTTGAGGATTTCCTGGGGAAATTGGGTTAGGAGAAAATAAAATGCATTCCAGGTTGTTCACTCTCAGCTTTAACGTGAAGTACATGATGAGAATTTTAAAATCAAACTAGAGGAAAAACAACCAAAAGGCAGCCTTTGAAATGCATTACCTTTTTGTCCCTGCTTCCAGTAATAAAATAATTGCTATCTGGAGTCCAATCACAGGTCCAAATGATACGACTATGCACAGCAATGTTCTTTCCTGTGGCTGCAAAGAGGCTGAACGCTGGGTCTGCAATGACACATCAACAGAGAATACGCTTTCTTGTTGCAGCAAACAGACAACTTTCCAGAAAATCACATCGCCTCAAAAATAATGAGAGGTTATCAGAAATCTAAAGTTGGGGTGCCCTCCCATCTTCTCTTTCAGATGGAAGACACCTCCAGACTGGTCCTCCAGGTGTTGATTATGCATCCTAGATTATGTACCCTAGGAAAATAAAGCTTGCCAGCAGCAGAAGAATATTTCTGGCCATCTGGACACTGCTGATATATTTAGTTCAGATTGTAGTTCAGATTGTTCATATCTCCTCTAAGGAATCCTAGTGTGAAGATAAGGATAAACCGTGAGACATGCCAGACAGAGCTTTAAAACCAATGCAAGAAAGTTATGGGCTCAGACTACCACAAGCCAGATGTTCTTTCTCCTTGCCTGGATATAAGTCAAAGCCACTTCAAACTTAAATAAAGGATTGTTGCAATCTTAATCTCAATCTGTCTCCTTTTCTCACTTTAAGGACCCCCCTCCCCTTATTTCCACATCTTCTTCAATAAGGATTAGATTGAAGCTGTGATACCTGAAGATGAAGTGGGTACGTAAGCAAGGTGGACAAAGGCCAGGAATCTTGTCTGAAAGATTCCTTGGGGAGTTCGTTAAGAAAGAACCAAGTTGTTAAAGAAAATGTCACCTGAACCAGACAAAAGTAGTTGGGCCTGACACACATGTAACCCCCCTCTTTCCCAAAATCCAATCAACAGTTACCAAACTTGTAATTCAAGAAGGGAAGAGTAGCTGACGATCTTGTCAATCACCAAGCAAGGACTTTGGGAGATAAAAGGGGTCCTGAAAACCCCTCTCCTCTATGAGTCATCCTTAGATCCAGACTGACAGCTTCCATCCCTCTGGGCTAGTGCCTGTCAGCCTTGTTGAGAAGGACATGGGTAAGCATAGATGAATATCTGTGTGCTCATGTGAGGAAGACATGTGAGAAAGATGGACATTGTAGGCAGTAAAGATTTGCTGTTACTTTAAATTCACTGGGTCTCTGTATATTCTGAAGAACCAGTTGTACCTCAGTGTTTGGTGGAAAGTGGTTTGACTGTGGCTGTTGACCAAGGCAGTGAGTGTATGAGTGAGTGATCGATCATAAGCCAAACTGGGAACACATGTAACAGCACTTTATTCCAAATTTTAGGTGAGGACCTCCTGTTTAGGAGCCTATTGAGTGCATTGCTGTGGTCTTAGAAGATTTATGAACCCACAACTCAGAACAACTAGTGTTCTTGTATCCACTCTGATACAGCCATACTCTCACATTCAGTCTCTGGCTTTTGACCGTCATACCAACTCTGGGCCTGCTTTGAGACTAGAGATGCTATTTTATGCTTCACTATTCCTTTGAGATTAGTGGATAGGCTTAGCCAGGCTTTGTATTCTGCTTTTATTGCCAGTGTGTTCTTGTACTTGCTCTGTCTGTCCTCATATCTACTTGTCTCAAAACAAGACAGTCTTTAGGAGTGCTACTGTTCTTGAAGACACCTATAGATCAATGAAGGAATCATTAAATTCTGCCAAATAGCACTCAATATATTCTGTTCTTTCAGCACATTTATCTACAATTTCTGTCTTCCCTTTTAAAGCAGTCAACGTTTCAGAGTTATATTCCTGGAACCCAACTCTTTTTATAGACATTCTACTCAGAAATCAAGTAATTCATTATGTATGTACATTAGCAAGTATCAGACACCTTCTGAATGAAGTGGCAGCTGTGTCACTAATGGGGTCAATAAAGTTGTCATTATGTTTAGCAATCGCTCATCATCATAATGATATCATTAACTTAAAAATATTCTAGGTTTCCAGTGGTGTCATTTAATAGTCAAACTATTGCCAGAACTTATTTCACCAGGTAACGCAAAACGCCACATTTTGAAGGCAGAAATTCTCAAATCCTGTGACATTAATACTCTCTAAAATTGTCTAGGAATGAAGAAACAGGGAGAGTCATCACCACAGAAGTTCATTGGGTAACTTTGAGCTACGCATTCTCTCAACCCAATCTCCTTCACAGAGTGGTTGCTTCAAGGAAAAATAGGAGAGGAAGCACTTTATGAGATGCAAACAACAGAGAAGGCACAATTCAAGGGTCTGAGACAAGGTGGCACTTCAGTACTCTATTAGATGGAAGGGACTCAGAGCATACCCTCCCTGTTAGAACTGGTGGGGTGGGCAAAAGGAATGAGGGACAGACGGTCCCGCAAATACCTGATAAGGTATTACAGGCAGTAACCAATATTATGAACTGAGAGTAGAAGCCTACTGAGAGCTAGTACAGCTTGGGGAGCCATAGAAGCACATTAAAAGAGACAAAAACTGCCCATTCTGGACCAGCTGCAGCTTCCAAATGCTCTTCAGCAGCAGCCATGCAGAGTGCATAACAGTCATTCAAAAAGGAGGTCACTAAGTCACCATGAGCAAACTGTCCTGGTCCAAGAATGGGTGCAAGTGGTGCACAAGACAAACCTGCACAAATGCTTCCACCTGCTACAGCTACCACCTGCTCTTCTAGCATGCACGATTAAGTCCAGGAGAAGTCCCAAATTTACACACCCGCTCTAATTAGGGAAGTGCATTTCCAGGCAGAGTTAAGATGGAAAATCTCAAGAGCTGGGGGAGGAGGAGGGAGTGTAAAACCCACAGTCACTGTGTCTTGTCAGGGTTAAGCTGAAGCCTAGGATCCCCTATTCAGACCCCCCCCCCCCGCCATAGCCTCCAAGCACTAGGAGGGAAAAGAGTCACCCTCTTGATTCAAGTGATGAGTAAAGTCTGCACCAGAGCTCCAGGAACAACCCCAAGCTCCTTCTGGAACCCAACAGAATCCATCAGGTGCCTGGAATGGATTGTTCAAATGAGACAGCCACTCTCATTCATCAATTTCAAGGGGAAAAAAAAGAATATTTTCTTGCCTTTACTTGGCTTCTTTTAAACTACTTACAAAACACTAGCAAGAAAGATGCTCCAGGCAATTCCCCCCCCAATGCAACTAGACTGAGATAACAATCCCAGCCCCTCTCTCCCTCCTCCCCACTTTCAACGGGATGCTCAGTGCTAGTAAATCTTCCTTCCACTCTTGCAATTTCTTCTCTGTTGCAAGCCATCGCTGTTCCTTCACTTAATTCCCTCTGCAGAGTGGATGTCAGGTGATGTGGTCAGAGATTTACACAAAAACCTTACCCGCTCCCACATGATTACACCTTTTTTTGACAGACACAAATGTGATGTGTTAAACAAAACTCTCAAGCTTCACTGGATCCAACATACTTTTGCACGAAACCTAATTTCTGATGTGGATTCTAACATATTAAGGAAGGCTTTGGATTTGCAGAATTCAAATTAATATTTCTGCTTTTAAAAAATACATTAGCCTAAAGCCAATATATTTATTTTCCCATGCATTAATATCAATGAGAGCAAACACCATTAAAAAAAAAAATCCCAGATACGGCAATGCATTATCGCAGCTACTACATTACACAGAAAGCTTTTCCAGATACTCTCAAACCAAAGAAATGTAATTGTTTCACTTTTAGAAATGAAAGAACAGAATTACTTCAAAGCGTTAAAGCCAAATTAAAACAACCATTCAACATTTTATACATCTTGGTTCTCATTTTTTTTAGGAATACTATTCAGACAAAAAATCTTACGAAGGAACTAAAATGCATTATTTTAAAAAGGTTTAGACCCTTTTTCTTTAAACAGTTTTAAAAGCTGCATCCATTTTTAACCATCAATCTTACCTGAGTCTCTTGGGTTGATATGATTAGATTTCCAAAGCGACCAATTTCTATCTCTTGAAACTGCTAGCAAGAATTTATCATTTGGGGAAAAAGACATCTGCGTCACTGTCAGATTGTGGAAAGGTAAGCTCTGCAATTGTTTCCAAGTTGTGGTGCTCCACAAAATAATGGCTGCATATTCTTTTTTAGAAGCCTGTAAAACCAAAAAAGGCAGTACTGAAAACAAACAGACACAATCTTGAAAAAGGACCCAAGGCCACACTGAAGCTACAGTTCTCCAAGGGTACTTAATTGTAACTCCACTAAGGAGAAGCCTAAACTGGAGTTGATGGTAGTTGTAGAACAACAACCAGTTAGGCATGAGGTTATAGAAAGTTACTACAGTGGTTAAAGGTTAAAGAAGGGCAACCCATCTTCTTACGTCTAAAAAACAATTTCTTGGCAAGAATCTTACCTACACTTTTTTGTTTATTTTAAACTATTTTTATGGAAGTGAATGCTCGTTTGTTTATTATTATGAATGTTCTATGCCTCTTCAAACATTTGATGCTGAGTAGTTTATAAGCAAGAACATATAAGGGTACCCAATAACATTATTATGAGGAAAAAATGGCACTCATACCTAAAAATAAAATCAAAGTATTTTGTATCATCAAGCAGAAATTCATTGCATACTCAAGTATTTCTACCCACTCTCATCCATGTCCTCAAAACACACTGAAAAGGCCATGTTTTAAAAAGCTTCCTGAATATTAAAAAATGGGTGTGGGATAGAATGCTTCCCAATCTTCTCTTGTTGTAACTCATGAGGAAGCATCCTCCATACACACATTATAGTGTCTACCTGTGAGATGACAAGGGCTTAACCAGCACCTTCCACTGTTGAAATGATTGTACAGCTAAAGCTTCATGAAAAACTGCTATCTAACAGCTTCTAGCACTTGTTCTCACAAGGGATCAGAGTCTGGACTCTAAAACTATCCTCAAACTATATATCAGTTCTTTTAAATGGAGCACAATCCTATCCAGAACTAAAGCTGACATGGTTATAAACTCGGTTTTGGAATCCACAGCCAATACATGCAGGTCAGGTATTTGAATCTTAACCTGCTTTTCCCCATCCAGGCATAAGCAAGATCTGAGAAACACTCCATAGTATCTGGGTTAGAGATGCATAATGATACTGACATCAAATCTCCAAAGGATTTAATATAGATGTTAAATAAGGTGAGAGGGTCAAGTCCTGAAGTTTTCCAACTTGGAGTGCCAAAAGGTTCAGTTTTTCTTCTGTCATGGACACATGATAGGAAAAGCCCCATTGGGAAAATCAATAATGAAAGAAGAGTGTTCCTTCTTTGAAAATTTCATACAGATTCAGGATACTGTAGTTACTGGAATCAATAATTGCTAAAAGATTTGGTAGGATTAGTAGAAGTGCATTCCCCCTCTCTAAGCCTCATCACAGATCATCAATGGCAGCAACCAATGCAATGTCCTTCTCATGCCCTTGCCTGAAAACTAAATTAAAAGGATCCAGATAATACTTTCATCCCAGAACCCTTTGGAGATGGCCACACCTTCCCAAAAACCTTTGTTGATAAGTGGAATTATGAAACTGGGCAATAGTTGTCCAATATAACTAGGTCTAGGCAATAACAAGGCACATCCTTGTGGAATTAAAGTATAACCATGTAGTTTCTCTTCCTGGGAATCCATACAAATCTAGGTGGGATTTAAACCCATAATGTTAGCCTCACCAAGTAGATCAAGCCAAGAAATCAAGTCCCCAGGAAGGCTAAAACTAATTTTACTGAATGACTATAACATCAGAAACTTGCAACACTAATTATGCTGCACATCCTTCTCCCTTCTTATACTAAAAGGAATTATGGAATTGTCTCCATGAATTACTTCCAAATATTACCTCATTGTTTGGGACTTTAAAACCTCTCACTCCCTTTTACTTAGGCAATGATTTGTGTATCTCTCTTTCAAGATCATTTTCCTTATTTTCTATACATATCAGCACTGCTCATCTCCCAAAAGATCTCCATTTTTTCAGGATCAAATTCTTCCCAGATAACACAATTACACATGAACTCTAGCACCTCTTAGGATTCTTTCAAGATGGCTTCTCACTCCGAGTTGATGCAAAGGTTTTTGTCTGTGAAATACTCTGCTATTAATGTGTCATATGGACTATTGTTCCTTAGTTGTGTCCAGACACATTTCTCCGTTTGCTTATTCATTACATTTGTACTCTGCTGCAAACAAAAATACTTCCGGCATATCATTTGCTTTTCCATCCCAATAGTCTGATTAACCATTTGTAACAATCTGTAAGTTACATTTTGAAGCAGAAGTACTAAGACTGGAATAATACACATTTTAATGACATAAACTCTCCTACTTAAGAACTAATTGTAATTATATGAGCAAACAACTACAACAAAACCTTACAAGTGATTTATGCTTTTTCTACAGTGTACTGGGATAGAATACCATTTGCATCAAAATTGTAAGGTCTGCCTTGGCTTTTGAAAATCTTTTCATTTTGCCACATATACTATGTACTACTAATAGAATATAATTGAATATAATTGAAATCCTCTGTGAAATATTTTTATTTAGGGATTTTTATCACATTTAAAAAAAATGTATCATAGCTGTGGCTTCTTATTTTCACTCTTTTTTGAAAAAATGAATAATGTCCCAACATTAAATCAATTATCCAGAGCTGCCAATTCTTAATATTCTGCTGAGAACATTAACCTCCAGGGGCTACTACTTTTAGACTTGAGGGATTGTTAATATTGAATATATTATATTATGTATGTATATGTTATATACATAAATACGTTTGATACATACATGTATGTGTGTATACGTGTATGTCTATGTATGTACATATCTCTATCTCTATCCCTAAAACCATTCAACACAGTGAACAATCAGATATTTATCACTTTGGATGTGAATTTCAAAGCTACTGTTTAAAAGTATTTTCTTACCTTACATGCAGAGGCTATCACAGTGCCTGAATTATTGCAGGCAACACAAAAAATTTCATAACCATGTCCATATCTAAAACAATAAAGAAAATGAGATTGTAAAAGAAAAAGTAATCTCGAGTGCAAGATTCATACATTATTAATCAATTCAAATGTTTTGAAACTTGTTAATATTCAGCGAAACAATTTACCAGTCCATAAGCTCTGCATCTTCTAAAAGAAGCCTCGAGATAATTTAGGATGCACATTGTCAGCCCTACAAAGTAACCCAGACCAACAAATCACTCCACAGGAAGGCTAAGTCTACTGTTATTTAGATCAGGGGTGTCAAACTCAAGGCCTGGGTGATTAGATCTCCGCAGGGCCGCCCTGGAAACAGTGAAGGACCAGCCTGCAATGCCTCTGCCAGCAAAATTGGAGCTCAGGAGGGCTGCACGTAGCTCTCCCGAGCTCTGTTTTCACTGGCAGAGGGCTGCAGGAGGCCATCACAGCCAAAAATGGAGCCCGTGAGGGGTGCGTGCAGCCCTCCCAAGCTCCATTTTCACTGGCAGAGGGCTACAAGAAGCTGCCGCAGCCAAAAATGGAGCTCGGGAGCCTGTTTTCACTGGTAGAGCACTTAGGGTTAGGGTTAATGATTGACGTCGAGCTGGCCACACCCTACCTGGCCACACCCACCCTGGCCTCCTGAAGTCAAACACAACCCTGATGCGGCCCTCAATGAAATCGAGTTTGACACCCCTGATTTAGATTGTCTATAATAATAGAAACTTGCAAGTGTGACTATGCTGTGTCTCCCCCTTTTTATATCCATGTGAACTAAGGAGGTGTCTGAGCCATTTAACCCATACTTTCTAATTGTTTTGAACTTAAATTTTTCTCTTCATTGCTTTGGTAACAAATCTGGTCTAGCTCTATTAGGGTCATCTCCTTTATTTTCTATAGTCACCCTCATTTCTTGCATATCTACTGTTGCCTCATTTTGTTAGGCTTGATAATTGCATCACTAATATCATTCATGAATTGAAGATGTGCTCCAGAGTACATCTTACATTACCCTATGGTGTAGCATTATGGAATATATTAACCATATTTCAGAAAGATCTATTTGCTTTCTCAGATCACATCTTTGAGCAACTGCTAACAACCCTCCAAAGAATTGTAGAGTTCTTGATCTACTACTTGAAATAAAAGACATATAAATATGTATTTCAGCTAATTAATAAGTTCATCTGTCTGATGTCTGAACAGTATAGAACTACTGATACTTATTCTTTTATTTTGTGCTATCTCTCCTCAAGCCTCCTTGGAAATTTTCTAACACAAAGGAAATAGTTCAATCTTAGGTATCTTTTGTTTTCTAGCCACTGTTACCTACTGTCTTTTTTTTTCTTTTTTCTTTTCCAAAAATGTTATTGATTTTTAAAAAAACAGGCATAAACAAACAAAACACAAAACATGAAAACATAAAACATCTTTTTTGAAAGCAGCATGATCCCGGGTTACATCTCTTCGTACAGACACAAATTCAAATTCATGTTCATTTTATATACCATTCCATATCTTATTACCATTCTACATTTTCTATATAGCTTCTTCCCTCTTTTAACTCTCTTAATTCTATTTTATTTATTTCATCTCAATTTAAATCATTATACTTATACCCTTTGTCTGTCCTGCTTTAGCTGTCTATTATCTTTTCTCATTAAAACAAAATTTCTCCTGTAATCACTGATTGTAGTATGACGCCTTTATATCTTTCCTCTAAATTTATAACACTTAGTATAATACATAGCTTTCATTCGGATTTTGCTTAGTACATTCTAAAGCTACACACTATATTTTAAGAAAAGAAGAAATTATAAATATATAATATAATTAAAACAACAATCCATACCAGTTCAACTCTATCGTTAAAATTAATATTCATTTAAATCTTAAACATTTTACACATTACTTTTCAAATAAGTATCATGCTTCTATGGGAACACTCATAAATTTTGCGTAGTTACTTCCCCCTCATTTCACTTATATTTTAAAACATTGTGTAATTAAAATGTTCCCATTCCTTCCTAATTCAATTCTCTCGTTTATTTCATTTCATTTATTTTATTCAAAAAAGTTTCACTGAATTACACTGAGTATTTTATCCCATTTTATAATCATATGTTGTTCCAATTTTCTAACATTATTTCTAATACAAGTATAACAATACAATCTTATGTACCTTTGCAGAATCTCTTTTTCAGTTATATTTTTACCCATTATCTCTGAATAAGTCCTGTTTCTTTACATCTTGTTCCAAACCTTTATAGCTTCTTTTCCCTTCCTTTCTCCCTTGCTTCTTCACTCTACCCTTTTTACCCCCGTGTCTCTCCACCTCCATTTCCCTCTTCTGTGTTCCTCTTTTCTGTTGCTTTCTAACATTATATTCACTTTTCACCTTATTTTTCCCTTTTTTGGTTGTTTTTTTAGGTCTTAAATTCTCCATTCTCTTTTCCCCCTTTCCCCTTTCTTCCCCAGATAAAGTTACTTGTTCATTAAAGATGGCTTCTTCTTTGTCCCAATCTTCTTGTTGCGCAGTCTTTTCTTGTATTTTCTCATAGGTACAGATCGCCATTTCTAAGAAATGAAAAACGGAGCCAAAAGAGCCCTTCCCTTCTTGTTCCTCTTCTTTATATTTTTTAAATTCCATTTTCAGTTCATCCACAAGTGATGCCATTGTAAAAAAAATTTTAAACAACCACCCAAGTGTTTTTAATCATTCAAATATAATTTCCAAAAGTCGCAAAGTCACCAAACAATCCAAATACACACAAGCTGTTTCATTTAACACTTTCTTCTTTTTTCACTTTCTCTTCCTGGGGTTACAAATTAGTTACAAAGTTCCAGTTAAAATGTATCTTTTAGAAGTCTTATTATGGTTTAACTTTAGATTCTTTTAAATTCCAAGCAGCCTCCTCCAGCCAAATCTTACTCTTATTCTTTTCCTCTCCCTTCCCACTTACAGCAAAAAAAAAGTTTTTCAAGTGTTCAGAAATTTTTATTGTCCCCTTAGCATTTAATTTTCCAGTTTAATTACCTGCTGGTGCCAAAGTGGGTTTTTCCGATTTCTCATTCATCTGCTGTCAACGTAAGGAAGGAGAGTGGAAAAAAAAACCTTTCCCTTTTCACTTTCATTCGCTGCTTCCGAATCTTCTTTGGGAGCAATGTATCTTTTTTGAAATTTAAATTCCAGGATACCTTAGTTGTTGCTTCTTATCCCGGTCAGCCAAAACTTTCACTTCTTAACTTCCTCCTGCACTTTCTTTTCCGGCTGAGTGCTTCTTTGAGGCGGCCATTTCTGGCCGCCGCTCTTACCGCCTTCAGAAAAGGGAGTTTAGCCAGCTGAGGAGGAGAGGTGCGGCTCCCCTCAAACCCTGCTGGGTCTCCCCTGTCTTCACCACCTCTACGGGGTGGCTTAGCCCCAAAGCCAGCTGGCTCGGGGCACTCCAGCGGCGAGCCCAGGCAGAAACCACGCACGATTGCGGATTCCTGTCTGCCGCCAAAGCCCTGCAAACCGGAAGCATCCTGTCTTTTTTTTTTTTTTCTTGATAGGTAGTTTGGGCAAAGCATAAAAACAAATTAAAAACTAATCATAAAAATAGCCAAGACACCATAAAAACCAACAAGAAAGAATAGTTAAAAATAGATTCTTGCCTAAAAGCTAACTAATCATTGTTATTTTTTTGGAGCAAACTGTGATAGCACTCAGTGTTACATGAGAACACACTGAAGATTCTTTAGTAATGTAGGGAAGGAAGCAGAATATTGGGAGAAAAGCTTAAAAGTTTCCCCTGTCCAGTTTTGACCGACTCAAAATATATTTGACCAACTAGTTCAGTCCATAAGAGGATAAAAATGAAACAAATCTATGCCCCAGAGTTTATGAATATGAGAAAAAAAAGCTTCATGTTGGTATAGCCATGGCCAAGTTACATTCTAAAAACAGAATGGTCATAAGACAATGGTAATATTCTCCATGATGGTAAGGTACAGTGGTGGGATTAAAAATATTTACTACCAGTTCTGTGGACGTGGCTTATTTGGTAGGCATGGCTTAGGGTCATGTGACTGGGTGAGCGTGGCTTGGTGGCCATGTGACTGGGTGGCCATGTGACTGGGTGGCCATGTGACTGGGTGGGCCTGGCTTGGTGGTCACGTGACTAGCTGTGTGGCTTGGTGGTCATGTGACTGGGTGTGTGTGGCCAACTCAATGTCACTCACGTCAAGGGGTGACTCGCCTGGCCCCTCCCCTTCCAGCCATTCCTTGTTACACCCAGCCACAACATGTCTATAGTTCTGTGAAAATGTTGTACACCTTTTTTTTTTACTTTATTATCTACATATTATAGATGTACTTCCATGGACCACTGAAAGGAGGAAATGGCTCACATGCTTTGCCCAAGAGGGTGATAGGCAACAGGCTTTTAGGGGGCTGCCAGAAAGAGGGGGGGCATTTTCCAAAGCACCAGAAGGGAAACAATGTATTTTCCAAAGCACCAGAAAGATGGAAACTGAACAAAGAGAGAAGCAACCTAAAAGTAAGGAGAAACTTCCTGACAGTGAAAACAATTAACCAGTGGAACTGCCTGCCACTAGAAGTTCTGGGTGCTCCAACACTTGAAGTTTTAAACAAAAGACTGGATAGCCATTTCTCTGAAATGGTATAGAGTTCCCCACAAGGTCCCTTCTAAGTGTTATTCTGTTATTCTGACACCTTCCCAGGACCTCTATTCAGATTTTGGCATCCTCAGTGTTTTCCTGCCTGAGCAGGGGATTGGACTAGAACAGTGGTTCCCAACCTTTTTTTCGGCCCGCACCCCTAAAGAAATTTCACTCGAACCTCGCACCCCCTGAAATAAATAATAAATAAAAATGCCAACATATAGCCAATATCCTATTATTTACCTGGACTTTTCTCGCACCCCCTGGAATATCGTCTCGCACCCCCAGGGGGTGAGAGCACCCCAGGTTGGGAACCCCTGGACTAGAAGACCTCCATAGTCCCTTTCAACTCTGTTAAACGCACCCGTA